GTAAAAATTCAGAATTTACACTATTGCCTGCTATTGCTCCTATTGCTACTCACGAGCGCAGATGTCCTAAACTTGTAAACTGCTCCGAAATGTCACTGCGATTTTCTTGGAACTGGAGCAGTCACATACTGCGACGTTGGTGGAGCTGTGACAAAGTAGCGGACTGCGATTTCACAACCCACCTCTAGTTCGAAGCACTGTGCGCCGCGCCGTAGAAACGAACTATCGCATTGTGATCCGATTCAATTCTCACGATTCTTTTTTACGGCTCATCGTTCAAATCTTATGGATCTGTGCTGGCCACGATTCAATTGAACCAACCGTATTGTAAGCAATGAATCAATTCTCACGATTCTTATGGATCCCTGCTGCCTACGATTCAATTGAACGAACCGTATTCTAAGCAGTAAATCGAATCACACGATTCATTTTTAATACTCGTTCAAATGAACGATTCGTTCAATCTTTGCCCACTTTCTATGTATATCGATTCGGCTAATTTTTTAATGTATATCGATTCGGCTAGTTTTTGCACAACCTAACCTAACCTAACTTAACCTTTTTTTTTATTATTTGTATATTTGTTTTTGTGCTTTTTTGTTTTGTGAATGCTTTGTCGATGAAGCTGTTTTGGCTGTTTGTACAATAAAGCGTTGTTTTTTTAACCTAACCCTCCTGACGAAAGTTATAAAGGTTTGAAAATTGAACATTTCATCTGTCACAAAATTAAATTTTATTTATATCAAACGAATCGGCTATTATGAGGGTTTGAAAATTTGCAAAATTTTAGTGGCAGATGGGGGGGGGGGATTGAAAGAAAGATAGAAATATTTAGTACATAGAATTTCGTAACCGACGAAGAGGGGGGGACGGTCAAGTTTGCCTCTAATTTAACGGCTCTGGCTTTTCTTAGGTAAGTGATCATTGATGGTGTGCAAAATGCGTGCAAAGTAATGGTATATGTATTTTTGAATTTGTATGTACGAGTATATGGTATATGTCTAGAGAGGCCATTATATTTTTTAACTAACAAACTAAAAAACATTGAATAATTTTTTCAAAAAATTCCAAACTTTCATTCTTTTTTGCAAAAAAACCTCATAGACGTGTTTCGAAATATACTACTACCCCTAAAAATATTTGCACTTATTTAAGACTCACCCTTTTGTATATTTCCAATAAAGCTTCAAACCATAATGTGAATCCACACATGTCAATTCAATGTGAAATCAAGTTCAATAATTAATCGAGATAACACATGATTCGACTGACAGCCACGAGCAGTCATAATAAATCTGAGGACGGTTTTCTAACTAGAGGTTTCACCGATTAACGCGCCCTCGTTCCATTTATCCGAAAATGAAAAATATATCCAGTCGTTTATTTTTGGAAAGGAGATCCGTTTGGAACATTTAATCCATTTGTTAAGAGAAAAGCATTTAAAAGGGTTTACGTTAGTGTCGTATACGTTCTTCTTTGTTGTTTTATATTAAGTCACCACTTCCATAATAAAGGAATGGTGCTGGAGTAGTTTGAATCTTTTGAAAATTAAGCTCTTAACGCGTGAAAAAAACAAAAATGAAAATCATCCGTCTTATTTGTAATCGCCAAAATTGTACAAGGTGTTCAGTAAGGTCCGACCGAACTTGGATTTTTAGTCTCGGCCAAGACCGAGACCGTGAGCGCGAAAAAAAATTCTCGGCCGAAAACGAGACCGAGACACGATGCAAATTTTATTTAATAGTTTATTATATGAAAAAACATCTGATAATAATGTAATAAAAACGTTATTTTCATGCAGCAACGGTTTTATTGGGATTTAAGGCTATAAAATTACTAATACCAAAGAATACTTTTATTCTTTGCTAATCTATACTAATATATAAAATCCTTAAGTGACTGACATACTGATTAATCACGATCCTGCTCAAACCACTCAACGTAAGAAGCTCAATTTTGGCATACAGGTTGATTCTAGGGTGTAGAGGTTCGATAAGAAGGGATTTTTCGAAATTCCAGTTCCAAGAGGGTGAAACCACCCCTAAATATTACAATATTTTTATTTAAAAACGGTCAAGTTTTTTAAGAAAAACGCTTAAACACGTATTTTTATTTTGGTTTTTTACATATTTTAAGATTTTTAAAAATGTATACAGGGTGTGTCGAAAAATCTGGTCATTGATTAATCACGATCCTGCTTAAAGCGCTTGACGTAAAAGCTGATTTTTGGAAAACAGATTGACTTTAGGGTGTAGAGGTTCGATAAAAGGGATTTTTCGAAACTCGAATTCTAAGGGGTGAAACTATCCCTCAAATATTAAAATATTTTTTATTTAAAAACCGGTGAGTTTTTCGGAAAAACTCTTAAACACGTATATTTTATTTTGTTGTTTTACATATTTTAAGATTTTTCTATAAATTTATACAGGGTGTTTCATAAAATATGACCATTGAGTAATCACGATTCTGCTTAAACGTTGCTTGACGTTTAAAGCTGATTTTTCGATAAGGAGGGGTTTCTCGAATCTCAAAATCCAAGAGGGTGAAAACGCCCCTCAAATATTACAATATTTGTTATTTAAAAAACGGTTAGTCTTTCGGGAAAACGCTTGGACAAGCATAATTTATTTGGTTTTTTTACATATTTTGAAATTTTTTAAAAAATCATACAGGGTGTTCCAAAAGTTGGGATTCCGTGGGTCCACTAATTTAAACTCACGATAAAATACTTAACGAATTTATTTTCTCACTTTATACACAATTACTAACTTATAACACACAACAAACTAACTATTCCTTCACCAAATTGTCCGATTTTCAATTTTCACGCGGTATATTCAAATTTCAAAAACTGTCTCAGTTGTCGATCGCTCCGGCTTATATACTCTATTGACTGCTTCTCGAAATTTCCCCAATTCTCGGAAAGCGTACTTCTTCATACCAGACAATTCTATTGTCTGATTCCCTTACTTCTCGACTTGGCTAAAAGATGGCGCCTGAAAAAGTCTTTTAATTTCTGGCGGATACGTTGCGGTTGTGCAGGCAACCAGTAATACATTTTTAATTTCTGGCGGATAGGCCATTTTTCTTGACAATATTCTTTCTAAATAGTTGTTTGCTAGTGACGCTTGTTGGTGGTGCAGACTAGAAATTTATAAGCTGCTGGTTTCAGAACACTGTACTCTGTATTGAGGTGAATAATTACACACAAGAATTTTACTTATTAGTAGGATATACGAGTAATTCATATAAAAGCACAATTCTGTTAAATTTATAAAACTTACATTAATAAGACACTAACATCTAACATTTCGGTCATTGTTTACGCATGGAAATACGAAGGAGATTCTTCAGCCGTCCAGGAAATTCCCATCGTGATTCGAATCTAATCATATGGATCAGATATGATCCATTCTTTTTTTCTCTACTTCGTAGGAGTATTTCATTGGCCCACGCATCGATAGGTGGGGTGATGCGCTCAAAAATAAGCTAATTTGACGATCGTGAGCAGTCTCGGCCGTGGCCAATAATCTCGGCCTTTTAATGCCGCGAAGGAGACCGAGATCTCGGCCTGATTTTTCGTCGAGAATGACTGTAACCGAGACCGAGACCGAGATCTCAGTTTTCGGACCTTAGTTGTCGGACCTTAGTTTTCAGAAATATTTAGAGCGATACCTGTAGACCTACCTACTGGAGATAAAACTTTAAATGCAGAAGTTTAAAACAAAACTAACCTTAAATGCAAGAGTATAAGGCTTTAACTGAACCGCCAAACAAAAATAAAAAATACGACCAGAAAGTTAAGTAAAATTTATAACGTCACTTTTTTTAAGGTACACCCTTATAGTTTTTTTTTGTTGAGAAACAACGATAAATGCAGATTCTGTGGGGAACATGTCTGTGGAGCCGTCTCAGATACTGGCATTTGTCAAAGCTCTGAGACTGTATGATGACACAATAGATCTGTAAGGCTGCAGTGATTAATCCCCCTCCTAAACATTCTCTACTCCCTACTACTACTCACACGTCCATCTAATACGAAATCAAATTTAATTGAGATTAATCCGTATTCAACTGACAGACATAAACAGTCATATGGAATCAAAGCATGGATTTCCAAATGAACAATCTAACCCGGTGACACTCCTACCACTCTTTCCACTTATCGATAATAATCAAAAATTCATCTTGTCTTTTATTTTTGAAAAATACATCCTTAGGAATATTTAATACATTTTGTTTGAGAAGGCAGCGTTTAAACAAGGTGGTCAGAATTGTATTCAGGTAACTTTTGCAGCATATTCTGTTAATAAAAATAGTTGAAAAAGTTCGTATAAAAAAATTACTTCCTAAAATGCTTCGTTTCGGATACAGTGTGTGGAGTAAGTTTCATTTTTACTTCGATTTCAAGTTTAAATAATCAAAATTAAATCTAAAGAATCAAATAATTTCTGTATGAAAATTGCTGTCTGGGTGTTTTTTACATGAGAAATATGATTTCAATGTCAATATGACTCCTACTTGTAGAGGGCACCATCTACATGTTTTTAAACTGTGAGAATGAAAAAAATTGCATCTGTCGTTTTTTACGCAAAAAAGGTTTCTTGGCAAAAATCGTCTCCTGTTATTACTAGCAACCTTTCTCATGATATTTGGAATGGAATCTATAAATACATGTTCTCATTGACAAAAAATAAACATGTTGACTAGATATTTATTCGAATAAAATTATAAATTTTAGGAACTTTTTGGTAGGAAAACCAAACCAAACAGTTTTCTGTCGAACCTTCTTATTTAATGAAAAATAAAATTTCAGTTTTTCTATACCAATTTATATGGTGGATAAATTAAAATAAATTTTAACCTTTCGGTTGGTTAAACTTTTAAGGCAACATAAATTATATTAATTGTAATAAAATAATATGTATCATTATTTATACTGCTATCATTATTTTATTTCTAAATAATAAAATATTCTACAACTTATATAAAATACATACACATGTCCCACTACATAAAACATGTCCAGGTGGTTTGGTAATCGCTTCCGAAGGGGTACTGGGTGTCTTGATTTCCTCCAAAAGCGGTGGCTGGTCACATTCGACATGCGCTTGTGACCCGGGACAACAAAACCAGGACCTCCTGTGTAAATCCCCCGTGTAGGGCTCATCGTAGGTCCGTTCTTCCTTCAATAAGGAACGATCTAATGAGTGTTAAGACCGATTTTTCCACCAGACGAACAAGAAATTATTATGAGTATCTTTCATTTTTTATGTTTTGTAGTTGAGGTAAGACTATTATTATTTATGCTATAAAAATGTAAAAATACAAGTCTGTATTTAATTAAAATATTAATGTATGCAATAAAAAAGTATCCAAAATATAGAAGAGAATATGATATCATATTATTTAAATATAAAATCTCATTGTTCTAATGGAAAATTGAACTTTGACAATTGAAAATTATTCACTTTGACAGGAACAGACGGCACAAAACACCACAGGGTGTTCCTTAATGACATGTTAATATTTAAGAGGGTAATTCTTGGACCTATTTTAAGCAAAAAACTTCATATGAACGCATGTCCTAAATATCTTTTGAGATACAGGGTGATTAGTTTTTTCATAATAAATAACTCTGATATTATTATATATATATGTCGTAGTCTCATAGTGTATTCCGTCTTTTCATGAAGATCCTAGTCACTTCATGAAATAAACTAACCTATTAACCTAACTAAACTCCTAACCTAACCGACGCTTCATGAAGTGACCTAGAATCTTCATAAAAAGACGAAATACACTATGAGACATATATTAGTAGAGTATATACATACATTATACTAAATTTTAAAATTTTATTAAAGATATAGTATAACATCCTTCAATATGTTTCTTTTAATAATTAAAGATAATAATATATTATATTAGATTAAGTATTTCGTTTTACTCCTCCAATTGCTCTGCTATCAATTCATGAATATCAAAGTGAATAATATGAAAGATAGATAAATAATTGCAAGAACGCAAAGGCTCGTGATTCAACGGAGTATAATGCAGTACTTGTGTTTGTTAAGGGCAAAGCTCTTAAAACACGACAAATATTGATGCTATTGGCTGATATCTCCTCTATAAAGTTATCACAATACTTTTACAAAAATTTTAATATTTTTTTGTCTCGAGTACATTATAAATTACCCCGATGGACAATAAATTAAATTATTTTTTATTTAACAATTTTGTACCATTAACTAATATGTAAAATTAAATGGGAAATGTTATCAATCGTCATTTCCCAGCCAATTGTACTTCGTTTTTTTGATCATACGGTATTTGGAGGTGAACACTTGATACAAAGTTTACTACTTTACCGAAATATCATTCATCCATTTTAGAGCTAGAATCTGTCGAACGAGACAGGAATGACTTAGACAGCTTACATCCAAAAATGACAAAAATAGTATAATGTTTTATTAGGAGTAAAAATGATACTTTTCGTAGAGCTGTACGTTTGACATACAGCCAATGCACAAAAAGTCATTTTTACTCCGAATAGAACACAAGCTCCGAATAGAACGCCGCACACACGGCAAAATGCTGTTTCGCTTGACAAAAAACCGAATTAATTTTTTTTTATGTTTATCAACGCATTCTTTTTCTTATTTCAATTGTAGGGCTAATTTTAAATATTATAAAACATCTCATTCAACTAGAATAGTGCAGGCGTTACCGAAAACTGATGTAGTTTGCATCTTGCGCGGAGCGCAAAAGATTTCATTTACATTTACACTCAGCACAGCCATTAAATTTTTTTTCTACTATATATGAAAAAAAGCTTGTTATAAACTTAGAAATTCATAATTTAGAATATCTGTTTTCTTAAAACTAAAAAATCCTTTCTTGATATTACAGGACTGGTATAGAAATGTATAGTGCGACTCCCTGCAAATAAAGGGCTATTTCAAAAAAGGGCAAATTTTTGAAAGTTGAATTTTTTATACCTGAATCAACATACATTAGGGATTTTAATTTTAATAAATTAAAAGCGGAACTCCGTGGAACTTATTACTATAACTCATTATGAAAACAAACTTATAAAAAACATAAACACAAAATAGTGTGTTTAAAATATATTTTATCTACATTCAAAACAATTCAAATTTATTATATTGATGCTATTTAAGTGTACTACATATCTGTAACTATATTGTCCATAATTATAATTAACTTTCAAATGGATGTGCTGGGTGTAAATGACACTCTTTTGCGCTCCACATTTGTGCAAGTCTAACGCTCTCCCCAAAAAGTGCGGACTCTTATCCACTTTCGGTAGCGCTTGCACCGTTATAGTTGCTCGGAAAAAATTATAACATTTAAAATTAGGTCCACGGATTTAATAAGAACAAGAGCGAGCGGATGAACATACAAAAAAAAAATATTTGTAATTTTGATTTTTGTCAAGCTAAACATAGCATTTTGCCGTGTGTGCACCGGCGCCGGGGCCGGGCCGTCGGACCGTCCGTCGTCGCGTCGTATCAATGGATAACGGACGTACGAAAATCAAGCTTAAATCGACTGACAATTGTCACTGTCAACTATTCTTTTGTTGAACAGACTTGAACTCATTCTTGCAATTATATTATCGTCTCAAGTTTCCTTCTGCCATCGCCCAATACCTTTTCAGCCTTGCTTATCGTGTACAAATGGCCAAAATTGAGATCGTTAACGAACGGGCCGCCTACGCAACACTTGCCGTGTCCCGTCCTGTTCAGAGGCCCGTAATTCTGGAAGTTAAACTCGTAGTCGGTGAGGAAGTTGGGCCTGCCGTCCGGCAGCACCTTTCCGTAGAGGAAGTTGGGGTGCATGTGGGCGTCGAGAGGGGACGACGGGGACACCCTGGTGACTTCATCGTGTTGATTGCGAGGGGACAGTTTCAAACTACCTGAAAAGGAAATCGGAAGGCGATAATTAAGGGTCGCTAAATTTAAATGTTCATTTTAAATCTTTAAAGCTTCATTCAGAACCTCGCAATTAGTGGCTTCAATTAGCGTAGAAGTTGTTTTCAATGTAAGCATTCAGAACATCAAAATTAGTGGTAGACATTTTGAATTAGTAGAAAAAGTTATCAAACTTTTAACTTTTCCACTAATTATACTTCAAAATTTGCGCGAAATGTCACTTTGGCCTTTGATTATATTATCTTCCTCCAAGAAAAATTGTGGTTAGATATCAAAAGTTGATTGTTTTATAAGCTAAATATTAGGATTTCTCTATGGATACAACTGACTAACGCAAGCTGTTGCTAGGATATTCTATTAATTTTAATTGTGTTTTTAAACATTGTGAATGATCGTAAACTAAAAAGTATAAAGTGTAATTGAAACCACTAATTTATTCCACTAATTGTGAGGTTCTGAATGAAGCTTAAATTGTAATTTAAGTCAATTAAAAAGGGGGAATTTTAAGGAACCTTTTGATAAACTCTCCGATATTGGACTTGAATTGTCTTTATTAAAATTTTAGCTAAAAAAAGTTAAAGCTAACCAATCGTATATCAAAGTTAAATATTACATTTTAATTGATTCAGTCGATACCTAGTGGAAATCCAAAACTAGACTAAGGACAAAAAGATGTTTATTATTACCATCAGGGCCAGTCAACTGAGATATATGACCTTGAACGGTCTGTTAATTGAGATAGCAGTTTCTTAGCATGGTAGATGGCGTATAAGTTTTTATCGTTACCTAAAAAGTGACAAAAAGGGAGATATTTTGTTTCTTTTTCTACTGATCTAAACATGATCTAAACCACACTTTTCCAATTTTGATACCGGTGAGGAAGTAGTTGGTAATAAAAAACAACGGTATACTAAAACATCATTTTCATAAACCGAGTTAGTAATTTGTGAAAACATTGTTTATTTAAAATTAAATCGTTTCAGGTACCTACGTACTTTATTACAAGATTTGGACAGTTTTGTATTAGAATAATTTTTGTAAATACTTTAAATATTTGAGTTACTTATACCCTTAATTTTCGTGAAAAATAATGTACTTATAAAAGTATTTCGATGAAATATTTTCGAAGAAACTATTTTAAGTATAGGATATTTATACTAGTTTTATTAATAAATACCTATCATATAGTCTGAATTGATTTTTATCTGTATTGTAAAATGTGTGATGGAACCATTTGACACTACAATATTTTAATTCCTTTTTTCGTAATACTTATCCTTTATTAGTAATTTTCTTTGTTTCCAGAGTAGTTACGAACCAGAGTTAAGAAAATTAGTTTTTATACTGATTTCTGAAAATCTGATTGTTTTGTATCTACATTTCAAACAACTTACATAAAAATAATAAAATATGGTATATTCAAATTTTCCGCCAGGTTTAGTTCATTCTTAGCATACTAGATGGCGCCACTATAAATTTTAAATTAAAAAATACACGCGAGTAAGTGTTCTTCTCTAGTATGTTCTGTGATTACTACTACTACATCTTATTCAGGTAACAAAGCTAGTTAAACTTTTTTTTATAAAGAACCTGTATAATACTATTTAATCAATTAAAAAAATAAGTAAAAACATTTTCTAAAAGACAGCAACAATAACAATTTCATTTATTTAAAAAACACATCAATACCGAAAAGTTATTAATTATTTAATGCTCTACAAATGTCATTTTTGGTAAAACTGAAGTTATATCAAAAACGGTTAAACTATCTAGATATAGCACATTATTAAAAGAGCATAATATACTCGTATAGGTAGTTCTATTTAAAATTAGCAGCCAGACCGCGTAGAGTATTTTGTAAAGAAACTACAACTCGAAATATTATTAACTTAAAATTATCAGATTTGTATTGTTTAAATAAAAATTGTGTGAAACTTCTTCTTACACCCATCTGTCTGTCTGTCCGTCTGAGGACTCCATTCGAGTACCTCTATCCACGTGCCGAGTTTGGTTTCAATCGATCCATAATTAAGAAAAATCCAGATAATTTCACCCTGTAGACCGTCCCCAATTATACCGAAATCGACCCACATTTTTCTTCAATATCAAATCCTTAGGCCCACCCTGATGAAGATGTAAACGAAACGTCGTATCCAACTTTCCAGGGTAGGGCCGTGTGCACCGTCGCTCAAATAGCCTACCCGCCAAATTTGGTTGCGATTGGACGACATCAAACTTTGACGTTTCTTACATCAAAACTAACTGTCAGAGTGACACGTGTCATACACGGTCAAGTTGGCCTTGGTCCAAGGCCCTCTATAAAAGATCAGCCTACGGGCGGACTTTTGTTTACTTCATCAGGTGTACATACTTAGATATTGGGTTAGATTCTGTATTCATATTTTGTCGGTTGATTTTTGGTATTATTTGTTATTGTAGTGCAAAAAACTAATTATTTTGGTGTTTAAGTGACATAAGGTACTACCAGATATATGGTTACTATGATGGTCACTCTGTTTCTCATAAAAAAAACACGAAATATTACACGTTTTCTTAAGTGCTTTAACCTAAAAGTGCCCATAAATTTTTTATTTATCGTGATTTCTCTGTGTGTTTTTTAAGACTCAACAATTCATCAATAAAGCTTAAGTGGAGTGTGTTTTTGGTGCTATGCCTCATCTTTGTTGTGTTCCTGGTGGAAAGGATAGTTATACTAGGCAGCTTAAAGTATCCGGAAGAGCAAGAAAAGTGGGTACGAGTTATAAATCAAGACAATTCTATTGAAAATATCTTTAATAAATTTTCAAATAATATTCTCCCAGGATGGTATTAAAGAAAACTGGACAATTATGTTTATTCTATTCATATTGTGGAATCTCCACTCCAAGTGTTGTTGGTTCAGCTTCGATAGATTCAAACACGTAAGATAAACATGTAAATAAAGAATATGTGTATTAAAGATCATGAAAAAGATTATTATTTGTAGTTCAAAATTAAAAAAGATTTTTGTAAAGACAAGAATGATAAAGTTTAAAAGAAGAATGTGTTTTTGTTTAATAATATAATGTATGTAAAGCATAACATATATTTGTTCGTATATACCTATATAGGTAGGTATATACATATATTCAGTAATTTTTACTGAATAGTGTTGATTATTTATAATACCAAATTAATATCAAATATTTAAGTGATGGCTGAATACAATATAAATAAAATAACAATAAAATTGGTATATTTGCAATACAAAATTAAGTTTTAAGAATGGTGTTACTAAAAATACTAAGAAATTCATATTTCTTTGTTTTAATTCGTCGAATGTTATTTACATTTTATGTAAGAATTATACCGTATCATAAAAAAAAAATCGGCATAATGTTTACTGCGTACTCAGTACTCAGTCAATGTAGATAGTTTTAGTATTAAGAATAATAATTCTAAAAAATACGTGGTCATCTTTTGATAAGTTTATATTAGTTTATTAATTGCAGTAAACATTATGTGGTGTGAATATTTTATATGTAATTTTTTGGATTATATTCGACACTATTTTTTTCATATGACACAACACTGATGAAGGCTCTAGTTAGCCGAAACGTTTTTTTTTTAACCAAATGAAAATAATGAAAACCCAAATGAAAACTTAAATCAGCGTTTTTCCCGAACCTAAAAATCCCAAGAAAATCAAAAATTTTAGAATAATTTTACATATAAAATGCCCGCGATCTTCATTTCATAGCCATCGCTGACGCCTTTTTTTAGATGATATTATATTATTTGTAAATATAATTTTTCGAACATTGATACTTGCAAAATATACATATAAATTTTGTGAATGCAAATAATAATACATCACTATTAGTAGATATTGAATGTTTTTTGTTAAATTAGATCGATTTTCAAACCCCAAAATTTAAAATATATTTACATTTTATCCAATATCTTATGTAATACATTATTTGTATATTGTAAAACATTTGCTGCATTTGTATGGTTCATAGTTTATTTGCCAAAGTATTTATTTCTATAAATAAGTGTATATGTTGTAATTATTAACTGTATATTATGTATATTTCATGTAAACTACATCATTTTTAAAATACAAACCAAAAATCTGAGGAATAATTATGTTTTCCATGTATTCTACAACATATTTATTAATCCGTAGTATCTAACTAGCGTGACGTCATAAATCTCGCCCCAAGGCTGTTCTATTAGAGACGGCATTGCTTGGTCCAATCTATATCTTCGCGCCTCATCTACATTTTTAGTTTTAGCCCCCTAGTTCACATAGGGCCCGATGCTCCAAGGTCGTTACCACTTTTCCTCTCGCAAGTTCGTGTGTCACTGTCACGGCCTTTAATTTTTACTCCCATCGCGCGTAAAGAAGCTTCACATAAAAAACTTAAAATTCCTTAAAAAACAGTTTGCGGAATGTAGAAAATCCCCTGTATAGGCTATCATTATTTCTATTATTACCAATTACCACGAAAAAAGACAGATCCAAGATTACTAAGATAGTCCTTTAAAATATAGCGTTTTTCTATGGTGGCTAATGTTATGTACTGTTCTTTCGATAAAATCCAAAGTTATACATTTTTGATACAACAAAGTGCAGTTTCGTTGCTATACCGGGTGCGTCTCAAAAGTGGCTTACCCCTACAACTTCTTTATTTTTCAGATAAAAAAACGAAATTTGGTATATTAGTAGATATATGACATAAATCGGGATTGACTGACGTATTCAATTGTTTCCGGTCACTTCCTGTTTCACCGGAAATGACTACAACTTTTGATATTTGAATGGCACCCTCGGTATTTTTTTTCTTTATTCGATAGAAAATGACACTCTGAATATGATGACATATTATATGTCAACTTTTGACATTTTCGCTTTAAAAAAAGTTGTATTTTTATTTCAATCTAGAGTGCCATGGCTGTATTAAAATTACTAATTTTTAACCAAGGAGCCTTAGGAAAATTG